CTTACAAATGAAACAAGCAACAACACTGACACTTCAGAGAATGATATTAATCAGGAAAAAGAAGCGAACAAACAGAACAAGAAACATAAAAAACAAAAAGAAAAAAAACAAAAATCCAATACCATCAATGAAATTCATAAAGAAACAATTAATCATAATGAAGAAGATAACAATTTCACTGGAATAGAGGAGAATCAGGATAAAGAGGAAACAGATGATGAAGGGACACCACCAAAGAAAAGAGCAAAGTAAATGACTATAAATGAATTATTTTAATTGTTTGAAATGTGAAATTAATAGAATTTTTGTCTTTAGTATGAATACAGGAAACAATTTAAATAACACAAAAGAAACTCATAAGTCTGATACAAAGACTCCAAAACAACCATCTAAAAGACAATTAAAAAGAGAAAAAACTGAGAAAAAGGAGAATGAAAAAAAGATGGCCAGTAAAATGGATGCAATGAAGAAAGGGCTTAATTATGTTTCAAAGGTATTTTAAACATTTGATTTTATAGCATTGTTGTTGAATATGAAGGTACATTACAAAGAATGTTATTTTTTAATCCTTTCATTAATACTTTTATGTATAGTGGAAACATGCAAGAAGTGAATGGAAATTTGAGAAATTAAGGCAAATTTGGCTAATTGATAATTTGCTGGATGAAACCTCTATACCAGATGACATTTTTCCTACAGTGTTAGAATATTTTGAAGGATGCAAAGGAATGGCAAGAGAACAACTCTTAAAGAAAGGCATGGATGTTATAAGGAAAGTGGAGGAAGATGAAGAAAACAAGGATGAAGTGGAATCTATTGCTTATCAAAGGGCAAGGAAACTTCTGCAAGCTTTACCCACTGAAACTTAAGTAGCTTGAAATTGTACTGAAAAACTGACAACCATTTGATCTTCTTATTGAAATTGACCATTTTTTTATATATATCACCTACCAATGTTTTTCATTCATGAATTATATGTTGACAAATATATGTACTTGTATTAAATCTTTGTAAATAATTGATCCATTAAATTTATCTGTTTATTACATGAAAACAATTTATTTAACAGTTCCCTATATATTAAATTTATAAAGTTAGGGATGTATATATAATTAAAAATATTATATGTTGCATTGTATACTTATTACCATACACAATATGATACAAGCACCCCAACTACAGGGTCATTTGATAACAAAATTACAATTAAAATATACTACATTATTCTGTATACTTATCTACAAATTGCCTAAGTTTATCTACATCCTGAAGACCAACAATTCTGTCTAAAACTTTTCCATCTTTCATTGCAATCAATACTGGTACAGATCCAACCTATGAGGAAAATTAATTTTCATTATTTCCATAGAAATAAGGAAATAGAGAGTAAACAGTAAATGAAAAAGTAACCTCATAATCTAAGGCAAGATCGCTATTCTCGTCTATATCAACCTTTGCCAATAAAACTTTTCCATGTTTTTCTGCAATCACCGATTCTATACGAGGGGTGAGCATTCGGCACGGATTGCACCATCTAAGAAATGAATTACATACACAACGATCCATTATATTCTTAATTAATTATTCAACAGATCAAGTATTTACACACGTTGCGAAAAAGTCAACGATCACAGGCACTTTGGAGTTTTTAACGCGATCATTAAAATCTTTTGGATCTTGAACTTTGAAAGCCGTCGAAATTGCTTGTTCTTGAGCTGGTGCATTTGCAAAAGCTCTGCTTCCTAGAGCAGTACGTATGGTTCTCAAGCCAGTTCGGAACATTTTAAGGTTTTATTAAAACTCAAAATCTACGATATCGAATAGAATGGTGTAACAATTACTACAAATAAATTTTGAAACGCAATAACAACTCGTTCGATCCTAACCTAAACTCGTGTTTAAAAGACTATACCGCACTGTGTGCATTGCGTCACGATGGTTAGGTACAGAGTGACCAACGTTACAATGTGAAAATAAATTCTCCGCAATCTTTTCTCTTTCATGCGTTTCATTCTCGTAAAATCAGCTGTGAGAACTTTCCATTGACGAAATAAGTTTTGTTAGAAGAAATTAAATTAATAACACATTGCCCTATTTTATTTCGTGAAATAAAATAAAATGAATTAATTTATTTAAAAAATGACATTGTTTTATATCATTTGCATTTTTAAATAAAAATTGAATTGTAAAATATCAGAAGGAATTTTATCTTGCACCGATAACTATTCAAAAAATTATATATAAATTGTTTATATTTCATCTTTTTCTTATTTACAATTGAATCTACCAGAATAAATTTAATTACAAGTTTTCAAGTTTTTTTACTATGAAACCCTTCCACTTAACCAGCAAGCATTTTCCCACGCGGAAGAAGAAAGCAAAATATTTACATACTCCGAAGCCATAACTCTGATCGAGAATAAAGCTTCGGAAACCCTTCGTGTCTCAGGAATCATCGACTTCCCTTTTTGCTCGATATTCTTCTCTTTTCTTTCGAGTTTCTAAAGACAATATCAATTTGCAGATAACATGATAAATCTTGTCGTTAATCTACATTCCGTTTCGCCCTAAGAGAATCCTCTAGGGGAATGCCACCTTGTTCTTCACTTAAGCGGCCATTTAATTCGCTGATCTTGACAACTTAAATCGGCGAGTCATTTTGTCAGTGACCCACTCTTCTAAGGCCTCGCGCGTTCGGACCTCGATCATGTCGCAATCCGTGGAGCTCACGTTACGCACTAGACACCTATGGGCGACGCATTGTTCACGTCCGGAAACGTGGAGCAGCATTAACAACGTATTAAACCCATTAGTGCTTGAGTCCTTTGACGATCATCAACAATTTGCCATGTATTAAATTACCCTGTTAAAGCTACTGTAAAACTGCTTTCTACATCTTCATTTAAATTCCTATACCTAACCTCTAATTTACGATGTTTCGTGTAAACGTTGACCCTGTCGGTGGACAGTGGAAACACCGCTTTAAAGCGAAACAGAAACGTGTAAAATAGAATTTTGATGGTGACAAATCGAGACTTAAGGTGTATTTTAATCTTCCCATCAGTATTTGAAGATGATAAGTTTTCACATATTACGTGTATGAACGTCGTTAAAAGTATTACATGTGAAGTGATGCGATTGACGATTAACAGGTTGTCATGTGTTGCATGCAACGGATTCGCCGAAGTTTATAAATAAAAGAAGTTATGACTCGGTGTAGCAGGAAATGACTAATAACACAAGGAGTTTCATTTCTCCGATTGCAAATGCGTTCGCTTTTTCAACGAACGACAGAGAAATCGATCCTTTATTCTTTCGTGTGGTGGATAATTAGACTGTCATATTGATTCCTTTTAGTCCACCATGTGGAACAATGCTAAATGTCTATTATTGGATTCACGACTAATGATGCAACACGATGACGAGTGGATCATAGGATATCGTGTATTTTCGCTTGGTGAACCATGTGCCGGCTTAATTAATGAACCTCACGCCCGTACTGATGTAACGAGCAAGGGACACGAACGCTGCGCGTATTGTTTAATCACTGGAATTTACTATTGAGGGAAACTCAAAGCAGATGTAATAAAAGTACCGACCAAAGTTAAAACTATTATTAACAATCAAGAATTTGTATGCCTGTTGCTGTATACCTTCTTGAGAAACGAAGTCAGTTGAATGACTGATCTCATAATTATTCCAAGCATTGTGTTTGTTTTACGTTACCTGCTACCTCTCATTTAAAAAAACAAAAGCATTGTTTCACGTTACACGTAAAGAAAACACACTACGTAACGCTTTCTTTTGCACCTGAGAGGACACCTGCAAATTAGCAGGCGAACCATGAGAAATTTTTGTCCCAACTTTACCAACGGAGATTACGATCGATAGTTAGACCCATAATTCGCGTTTACGATCGCTCGTTTCTTCGATCGACGCTGGTGAAATTGGATCAGATCGATCCTGCGACTTTGACCGGAGGATGATTCATCGCCGGCAGTTTTGTTACAGTTTGTTGTTACGTAAAATGAAAATCTTACGTAATTCGTTCGTTCATTCGCACTCGCGAAAATAATGGATTTTCTCTTCATGGGAAGTCTTTCATCCTGCACGACACGACAAGCATAAGACAATTGTCCCCACCTCTTTACGTTGAAATGAAATCGCGTAATCTAACCTAACCTAACCTCATTATTTTCAATAAATCTGATATTTTAAAGGAGCCTTTCACCTTTGAAAATGATGGAAAAATCCTTTTTTTGTTTTGTTTACATTTTCTAATAGTATTACATCTCAAGAATATTCTTCGCGAATATATTATTGACAGGCTACATCAAGGTGCAACGATGAAGCGTATATACATATGTATGTATGTACAATAACGAAAACGAAAGTTTCTCGCGTGTTATTTTTCGTACCTTCCGCTGAACCAATTCATCAGATTATCTCGATGCAAGCGAGAAGAATAATTCGATAGAGGAAATAGGGAACGTGTCAGAGTAGAATCGATGGGATGAAAATGAAGGAAGTTGCGTAAGAAATCGTGAAGCATCGTTGTGCTATGATGCGACCCATTACGATCGAGACAGATGATTTATATTAAACAACCGATCCGCTTGTTGTCTTCAAGGTCTTGGCTACTTTACTTCACGGACCTTCTTCCTACGGCAAAACGTTACCAATCCTAGAAAAATCCTTCTCCAACGAGCAAACGTGCGCGTCTTATCTCAACGAAGGAATAACACGTTCGTGTGTCGCGTGTTGCGTAAAATAGTCGGCTATTTCCTTATACGAGCAACGACGACAGCTGCAACGAAAATATATAGCAACTAAGCGACCTCCTTTAAAGTGAACTCACGTAGAGCAGGGCTATGAGACGATTTTTCTTCGTTCTTGCTTCTGGCTTGAATGGTTGATGCTACTCGATCGACTTATTTGCAGTTTTGTGTCGAGGACATTCGAAAAAGCTCGACGGTTTAAAGAACTGAATAACACGAATATCTCGATATTTCTCATCTTTCTTTTTTATCGAAGAAATTTCCAAATATAGTGTTTCTGAAGAAGACAGACAAGTGAGACAACCTGTCAACGATAGTCCTGCAAAGTTCATCATTCTGGACGAACTATTGTCACTTTCATCTTACCAAATCAATCGAGAGGGACGACTGGGAGCATTCGCGAATACGGATTGAAATATTATTACCGGTCCACGAATCGATCTTACCCCATGGAAACGAAATCTGTCCGTAAATTGTCAGGAGGGGAGAGGGGGGCGGTACGATAGAAAAGCTCCCCAGAAAAAAATAGAACATCGGGGGTTCTGAATGGAGAAACTCTACCCGTAATCGCACGGAACAGAAGGGACGGAGGTTAGGTTAGGGTAGGAAAATAATAAAGGGAGAACCATCGGTCGTTATGGTTACCGACGATCTACGATTTCATCTGGCCGACATCCTGCTGATTAGAATAGGTGACCCACTGTTGTCCAGAAAATCTGTTCTAGCTTCGACGAGGAAGAAAGTTTTATTTTATTTTAATTATAACTTCAACGTTTGAAAAAATTCCTCGATAGAAAGCAATTACTGTCAGACGAGGAGGTTAAGGAAACCGTTGATAAATATTTCACAGGTCTTGAACGGAAGTTTCGTGATTGGGCGAGACACTTCAAAACTTCTTTCAGTGCAGCCAACCTTATTTAAGTTCGACTGCGTTATCACAAACTAATTTTCTTATAAGTTTGTTCCGAACAGTTGCAAATGACAAATTATTATTTTTAATTATTTCCAATGTATGAAAGTGTATATGAAATAATTCATAAATGTAACTTTTTAATTAATGTGAACACATTAATACATTTCGTTAATAAATTCGATCGTTGATCGACCGAGTTCTAAATTGAAACATCATTCGATTAGAACGGAACGAAATGAAAAATCAAATTGGAAGTTTTATAATTCGTTTACAGATTTGCCTGGAGAAACTGGGACTCGCTGAATATTTTCCACGCGTTACGTGGTCTCCCACGAAACGTCGCTCAATTTGATTAAACAGTCTGCGTTCCCCAACGGAGCGTAAAATTCTCTCGAATCCTCGCTTTAGTCTCTGAAGCGGTATTGATTCAATCGGAGAGTTAACACGCCCAACGTTTGCAAACTTGCTCGTTCGTCGTATTATCGCCAGCCAGTTGGTCAGCGACTCTCCACGAGTTCCTTGCAACTGGGAAAGAGGGAAAGTCTATCAACAGGATAATTATACTAATCTACTCGAAATTGACGATTTCAACAATTTAAAAAAGGATAAAAAACAGTCTCAGAGATAAGATGGTGCAAAAATAGAATAATGTAAGAATTGACATTGGTTTGAAACTACAAAAGAAAAAAAAAATGAGCGGTGGTACTTCTTTTATTTTTTTACCATAATTAAGAAAAAAGATTCTATAATCCGTAGAATAATTTTATAATAAAACTCTAGGTTCGAATTGGTCGAAGAAGATATATAAAACACGATTACTCGCGAAGAACCACTACACGGAGAGTCAATAGTGGTGATCGCTAATTGAGTGCGAAATGAGCCTGATTGTAAGTGCAAACAGTTTAAGCCGAAGGCGGCGTTCGTTCCAGTTTCGCTTTTTTTTCTTTCTTCTCTTTCATCTTCTGGTCCCGGTTAGGTGCACCCTTTATGGTCCGTGGCACGAGAACGAGGGATCGGGATCCGTGAAAACCCTCTCTTATCACATGACTCTACGTGCATGATCGTCGTGCTAACAGTATTACCGCGAGGCCAACGCTTCTGTTTCCACGATGCGTGACACCACGGCCTGAATTAGCCTCCAGGAATGTTCAGGAAATGTTTAGCAGTTCTCTGCTGGCCACAGTGTCCAACAACCCTTGCTCTAAGTTCAGCTACTAGTATATTAGATTATTCGAAGAAAAAAAG